TCTGCTGAATCTCATGCACTATTCACGGGTTGTGCGTAAGTGTAGCATCAAAACCGTGAGGCTGAATTATTTTTATATCAAAATTGCCGAATAATGCATAGGACATTAGTGGATATTTTAATTGCCTTAAATGCTAAGCCATTGCAGACTTCGAGCCAGTTGTGAAGGTTTATGCTTTCTGCAATCATCCCATAATTCTTTTCCGCTTCTTTACAGATGTGTCACGAAATGATGCTCTTTGTTCTACAAATTCAGTTTGCGTCGATTAGATTTGACAGAGCCAAAAGTTAATCAAGTTGTTTAGTGCAGTTTATCTTTTTTGACACCTAGTGGAATATGCTCATCCCTCTTCTGCTGCATTTTAATATCTGTATTTTATAAAGTGCTGGTACGAATGGCCTTTCCTCATAAATTACGTCAAGGCATAGTCTGAGCATTAACACTGAAACTTGAAGAAAAGAGGTCATTACTAGTATTATATAAGGCATCAAATAAAAGATTCTACAAATGGTGCGAATGCTTTTAAAAGTAATTTGTTCAGACCTTACATTACATAGACATTTATTATCAAAACACATCCGCTATTCCATCAACTTTACTTAGGTGTTTGAGCCAACTTTGCTGCTTGAGAACCATTATGGGCTAAATGTTGCCGAGTTTTAGAACCCAAATTAATCTTTCAAGAGTTTAATACACGTCGCCGAATTTAATTTGTCCTTTTTCTTACCGAACGTCACAGAACAGTAGCCACAGGAGCAATGACAGAAGAAATCACTGGCGGATGTCCGCATCTATTTTAGAAGGTTAAGCAGTCAACAGCGTCGAGGAGAAGATGGGGCAACACCGCCTCACTGAATGTTAACGACTGCTAGAATCGGCTAGGAGTGAGAAAGCAGACTAAGTAATACAATGAGCAGTGTCGATGCACCTACACCGTCGCTAGATCAAGAAAGGGGAAGTCAATGCGTAAATCTTTGAAATAATTTTTAAGTTCCTGACTAAAAGACTAGGATTTAACATGCCTGGCTTGGTCCATTTTGTAAAACCTCAACAAAGGCTTTTTGCAATTTCCTTCAAGTGGTGGGAGGCTTATCGCTTCTGATGTTTTCCTTCTGACTAACAAAAACAACCCAGATTAAAAATCACAGAATGATTTAGCTCTTTTTAGCTTTAAGCTTTTTAGCCTGCCGTGCAAATAGTCTTTTGGGAATTCAGCTGCCTGTTTGAAAAGCCTAGAAGGAAAGAAAATGAATTGAGCAACAAAAAAACTAACGGTTATCCAGGTTTTCTTTCCTCCAACATATATTTTGGCATGAGACAGAAAACAGTTTCGATTTGTTACTGGAATCTTTAAGGTGAAACATACCTCACTCAGGAGATGCCAGATATGGAAATTTTAGACAACGAAGTGAAAACATAGGTGAAGGAATAGAAACCAAGTTACTGGCTAGACCTTTATGTTCATATGTAGCATACGCCGCTAGACATTGGCGAGTTTCCTTGTGGTAAAAAACACCACTACAATCGGAGTGTTTGAGGTTAAATCAGACCCATGCATTTAGCACTGTCTCATCAATTTAGATCTTGTGCCAACCAAGGAGTTCGTCCTTGCTAGCTTTGGCAAAAGGCTAGGGCAGAAAATGAAATCAAACGACGAACTAATCCAAGTGGGAAATAGCAATTTGTTTGCTTCTTGCAGTATTAGCGGTAAATTAATTAAACAAAGACAAATATAAACAGAAGGTCCGAAACCAGGTGTGTAGTAAATTACACGGTGCAGTAACAGCAGCAACGTGAGTGCCAGTGAGTGATGGAGACTACAGACAATTAACCAAGGGTAGGTCATAGAAGAGAGTGAACGAAAACGCCTGATTGCCCTTTAATTATCTTTGGTAATTTGCATTTTTTCTATCCATAAAGTAAAGAAAGTAATAATTGCTTTCATTGCAACCATTTGGCATGTTTGTGCAATATGATTAAAATATGAAGGAGGCTGGAAAATTTTTGATGGAGGGTCCAGTTTTTGCTAGACTCACAGACTCCACACCTTAGGATAGCAAATAGCAGAGGCCACACAGGAGCACAATATCGGCAGCAAGTAATGTTACGTCCACCTTCACCCATTTTCTCCAGCAAATGCGTCACAAAGTCATGATATTTCCGCATCCGCTCATTTGTGCATCAGTCAACAATACAAACAGAAACGCAAAGGCCCGCAGTAAGTCACAGTCGATGGCTTAATTGCCACGATAGCCAGCATCTTTTTAATGGCGTTATCCATATTAAACCTGCATCTCATTACCATTATCATCATTAGCCGCATCACTCAGAAGGGTGTAAACTGAAAAGGGAAACAGAATCGCTGAAAGAAAATCGCCCTTCATTGACGTGAAAATGGTGTCACTTATAATTTTGATTAAGATTGGCAAATATTTACAAGAGTTCTCAGGGATCTCATAGAAGTCGCAAAAGTAATCAGGATGAGTCACTCGATGAGTGACCTTCATTACTAGTTAATTTGATGACGGGTTTTTTGCGTGGCATGCACGTAAGATGCACTTTACATCTCAATCCGTATGAAACTAGTCTCTCTTTTTGATACTTGCAACAGAAGTTAGGGATCGTGTCAGTTGATATGATCAGGCTTCCTCTAGCGCGATCCTGTGGTCATTCCTCATGAACGCCTATCGAATCATAGGCATGATGTGTCCTTACTGAAGAACTATCTGATTAGCTTTAACGGCATATAGCTTAAAGCCTTTCATTGAAATCAAAGGTAAAAATTCTTTCAACATTGTCCACTAGGGACGCACGCTTAGATATTTTGATCTCCTCCACCCAGGTCAAATTAATCTTTTATGCGCGCTCTGTCTAGGTAGGAACTAATCCGAACAAATCTCATCCTTTGACTGAGCTTGGGATAAAGCTATATTTGAAAGCCTTTAATGGGGACTAGAAGGATAAAGATAAGCAAATTTAAACATTATAAATCCTCACTTAATTATCTCACAATTATTCCCGCACTTGCCTCTAATCCTTAAGTTACTCCTAAGTGATGGTGCCAGTGTTACTACTACGGACCTTCACTAGTGCATCACTTAATCGACTTTAGACACTCGTGTCTAAAGCCAGCCCAACAATCCGTCCATGGCTGTTCCGTCCTTCTCCTTAATTCCTACTTTTTTAATTAAGCAAAGCAAAGTATAAAAATATTAAGCATTCGCAAACAAGATTGTGCGCATGCTGCGCATTAAAAGTTGATGTAAGATACAAATTCTTGAAAACTAGGTGTCTCTCCCACCTATCCCAACAGCATTGGTTGTGTGCAGCAGATATGGAACATGCCTTCAACTTTGGTGACGTGAATGGCGCCTTCTTCTTGTTAGCTATTTTAAGGTGTTGGACAGTGACTCAGTGAGTAATGACTTTGATTCTTTTTGTAGAGTTTGGGAATTGATAGTCAACTATATGGAGGTCATTTAATTCAAGCGGCTGATTTGGCAATGTCCAACAAAACGCATGAGCAGTAAAGTTGATAACAAAGAGCGCGATGTGGAAGCCGCGAATTGCAGATTCAAGGATAATACAATGTACAGAAGCTATCACTTAACTCAAGCAAATATTCGCATTGCATGCTTAACTCCAGTTCTACATTGCATTATCAAGCTAACACCAAGGATGTATGCAAGAGCGCGTTGGTGAAGAGAGGCTGCTCCAGCATCCATTGATGAGATGGTGAATTTTAGAGTGTGGGGTGGAAGTTAGTGTAAGAATGTAAAATCGTCAATTGCAAAGAGATGGGCAAAGACCTTGATGCCACGAATTAGACCAACCCCTAGGAGTTCTTATACGCGTGGTTGTACAAACACATTTTAATTTTAACGGCAATTACTGTACACATATACACAATCACCTACTATAAACACAGAGTAACACGTGACAGTACAACCAAATCCCACGCCATTGGATTGCTGCGAGTAATAGAAGTAGGAAAGTGCTTGTAAAATCACATTCATGCGTCAGTCTAAAAGTTGGACTGCTTCGTCATGTCGACATCGTAGCTCACCCCATGAATATAGTAGCTCTGCAATCCAACGCCTTTGTGTCCTCAGACCAACTTCCATCTTCTAACCCTCTACCCTTCACTACATTACAACGACTTCGCTTCGCGTACTCATAAATACGTCTCCACAAATTTGTCGTTGTCGTAGACTCAAGACGAGTACATTTTCCTCAATCACATCAACTTATCCAACAGTTAGTGCTTGAAATTGATGGGGCTTCAAACAGAAATCACTGGATTTATTAAACCATTGTGATGGTGATAATCCGGCTCTGTGTTACTCCATGCGGTGATCGTTGCAGCTGGTTTGTGATTCTTTGGAGGTTGGATGAAATGCAACCGATTCGCGTCGACTCACGATACTGTCATACTTGTGTTTGACTCGAAGCCGATTTGCATTCGCAGTTGCAATGAATTTGTTACTCAATCACATGCCGTACCTCGTGCCACATCACCTCGTTTTTCAGACACTTGCTATTGACAAGAAAAGAGTAGCATGAGTAAATGAACAAAAATAATCAGAAAAGTGGTGAATGTCATTAGAGGCTGCGTTGATACAAAGAATAAATTTGCATGTTAATGCGATACTTGTTGCATTCACGAAATGTTACATTCACTGAAACATAGTGCATGTTGAGGTAGACCTGTAACGTGACTAAAATTGTGAGATAATTGTCTCAAAATAAAGGCATACGCCTTCCAAAAGATTCAACTCGAATAAAGCCTTTCTTTTTACCCATTTGCCTAATCTAGTCATGGTTTCAATATTTTCCTATCGTGACTTCAAAAGCCACAGCATTGACTGCCAATTTTACATTACGCACAGTTGTGAAGTGACACCCCATTCTTCAGTGACCATGAGACGGAATGCGTTGTTGCTTTTTGGCCATTGTAACTCTTGGGTGGTAAACATTCAGTGCAGATTCTTCACAATGTTGTTTCACGTTACTCAAATTAGGGAATTTGAGTGAGTGGGTGAGTAAATTGTGAGTAAGCCGGATAAGCATTCTTCTTAGGTATGTTTGTGCAAAAAATGGCTGCTTATTCCTACATCCGCCTAATTTAGTGTTCGAGCTGTAGCAACCATGCTAGTATTCTTACAATTTCTAATTGACGTTGATTTGGTCTTCCTAGCGATTTGTCAGTCGACAACGAACTCACAAGTACGTCCTTAAACTAATGAGCCGACATGACTAGTGATTACAATGCGTGTTAGTCAGGTGGAAGTTACAATGGCATGTTGAAGGACAAGGCTATTTTAATTCATTGGTGTCATGATTTGTAAATGCCACCTTTACTATCCTGCATTACTTAATCAATGAATAATCATGTTTCTGGCATATTATCTCATTTTACGATGGCGGGATATCAGTATGCCTGATCTGATTGTTCTTGGTCAAATGGTCACAATCTCGGTACTCCACAAATTACGTTTGTGTAAAAGCTGCGGTAGTCACACTTGCCAGAAAATTGACTGAGTTGTGGGATTTTGCCCTTGCACTCATTTTTAATAAATTTCTTTCACCGTAGGGCAGATTTTGACCGAACAGTATTGCTCATTGCATCTTACAGTCAAACAAGCTCAAGGGATTGTAAAAACCCTAACAGTTGGTGCGGAAATTTAAGTAGCCAAGGATGTAGAGTCAGTGCTACTTTATTGTTTAATGCGTTCGCACTGAAGGTCGAGTAAATTCAGATTCTTTGTCAACTGTTTAAATTTGTAGTTTTTGTTTTCAATTGATGTCTAACATTTGGGAATATTCAAAAGAAATTCTTGAGTCTGGACCCCTTGTAAAAGAAATGATTGGAGTTCCAATTTGAATACATAAGTGGTGGATTGATGCTGTATCGGGATCAGCGACATTAACAAGAGAATTTAGAGACCACTTAAGCAAAACCTAGATCGGTTTATCTGTAGACAAGCGATGTATGTTGCTATGCTTTGCGCTGAAGTGAGATGCGGTGTCTTGTAGCCTAAGGCGGAAGGCGGGGGTTACAGGATGATCCAGGGTTTGGGATCTCTACAATGCCTTGACATCTGCTTGCCTCGTGAATTTCAGGATGCGTCTCGTTGAAGCGTACAAGAATGAGGTGAAAATAGTGGCATGGCTGCACTGTTGATAGATCTGTATAAATTGTGCAGTTAGCGCTTTGCATCAAATACTAAAAGCTGACTGAAAGTTCTCCTTTGACGCCATTTTTCCAAGCTATCTTTAGCGAGGGCTACTAAAGGAAGGTTGACGTTGACCCACTTGCAGCAGGCAAGTAGAGTTTGGTATGTCTATTTTATGGCTCTGTTTTAACTAACCAATTCTAAAATCAAATATGATATGTAGTATGCCTAAAGCCTCAAATGTTGCAGACAGCCGACCGTTTTACGTCTCGACGGTAGATGAGTTGTGAAAGGATGCACCACGCTGCAGCTGGCTTAAGAGTGCCGGTGACATTTGACCACAATTGATATACAATTATTAAGCTGAGTTAGCTGTGGTCCATCATTCCGTGGAGCAATGGCCTTGTGCTTGTAGCAGGATGTCCGAAATGATGGTTAAAGTGGGGTGCAACCATTTAGGCTTTACAGTTGGGCAATGCGGCGTGCGCTTTACTAATTTCTTGATTGAAGTACCAAATTTTGCGTCGTGCTGTAGTTGAATAGACCACTGCATAAGGAATGCTGCTTGTGGATTAGCCGTATACTTTGCCTAGCTCCACGAGTTTTTGCTAATTTCGTAACAACCTCAGGTGCCGTGGATGAATTTGTGGAAAGGACTGTCAAAAAGTGCCCAAATAAGGACTTATTCGGGGTTACATTTTCAAACACAAAAGATGCAAGTGCCGACAGGCTGAACAACTGCCCAAGACCCAAAAAATGATCTACAAATCGTGGTATCCTTCCGAGTGCAAGTGATACTGATAAGTTCTTTACTCTCCGTGGTTTTGCCTCATGGATGTGCCAGAAATGCCTTTCTAGTAATGCAAACAATTGAGAAGGCTAACTAGCAATGACACAGGTAGTCATATAACTAAATTAGCTTGCACTTCTATGCTCATAATACAATAAACCATAGTACTGTTAGAGTCATGTCAACTCCCAAATCGCTTCTTGTGCAAAAATGCAGTATGGAACACACATACATTTTACTATGGCGCATATTTTTATTACAAAACAGAACGTTTTTGAAACCTTGTTTCAACTCAAAACAAACTTTTCAGTGCCCCTTATTATCATTCTTTTTTGTTTGACTTCACTATCGGGTCAAGGCTTCTTACTACTGCGCATTGGACGATGTTGTGTTCCAATAATTTCGTTTTGGACTTCTGCTAAGCAAATTTTCTAGGATACAACTCGTGATTAAAAGGAATAAATTTTGTTGCTTACTTTTTTTACGTCATTTCGTGGGTCAACACTTGTGGAATATAGGATCTCATAGACTTGACAATCGTGTACTGCACTTGACAAATCTGTCTGTGCTGAGCATGGTGAACTGTCAAATGTGCTCCGTTGCTATGGCTCTGCAGTATTTGCATCTGATTCGTTTCTCTTGGGGGTTGAATCTGATGGGAACTTGTCTAGTTGTTCTAGAGAATTCTGCTCTAGATAGCAGTCTTCATTCCTTGAACTTGTCGAAGAACAGGATTCCTTGGCTTTCGAAAGACGTTCTGACTTTAAAGAGTCTGGAAATCATGCTTATAACGGGTAATTATCATTGTTATATGTTAATTAATATTCACGAGTGGATGCGTCTGTGACCGGCAGAGGACGCTTAATAGACCTCTTTGTTGGTTCATCGTGACAATCTCCTAAGTAAAGGAGATTAGGAATATTCAGCTGAAGAGTAATTAACTGCGCCATCTATGTTGTTCTCTCCCCCATTTTAGAGAGGTGGGGGCACTGGTCCCTCCTTACAATCCCTAGATGGTGCCTTTCTGTTAGATGGTGGCAAAGAGTCTAATCTCAGAAGTCCCTCCTACTTCGCGACAGGAGTATTTCTGCAGAATCAAGGACAATCGTAAATGTTAGACTATGAGAAAGATGGGTTGTGGCCCTGATTATGGCGTAGATATGAAGTAGGGTCATGGGTAGAAAGGCAACTGAGGAACTGGAGAGGAAGTGAGGTAGATAGATATCGGAGCAGAGTTTTGGAGAGAATGAGCCAGGGATTTTGAGTTGTAGTGTGTGAGGATCTAGTAAACTTGAGAAGAAGAGACTTGGGATGTGCCTGGAGTGGGGTGGTACGGAATTGTTGGTCAGCTAGAGATAGGTAATTAGGTGGCTAGATTTTTGGGGTGGCAAGAAATTGGAGAAGTGGGAAATAGCTCAGATTTTTGGGTATGAGGTTGAGGTTGTGCTGAGCTTGGCAACTGTAGTGCTCGAGAGTAAGGCAAGCGGAGGTCTCAAGTTGTGTGAGGCCCCCCCAGTTGCAACTAGGCCTTGATTTTGGGCAATCTTTGTGTGTGCAACCCATGAAAGGGTTTTCTACTGGGGTTTCTGCCATAGGTCTGGGAAATTAGGTTAGAAGTAACGTGGTAGGGATGCTGCTGGGTTTTAGGAGAGGCGGTTAATTGTAGAATTAAACAGGTGATAAGGTGTGGGGCCCGTGAACGTGGGAGTAATTAGGGTATATGGATGGGGAGCTGGGGTTTCGTACAGGTATGGAGCTAGAGGGAATGAGGCGAAGGGAGGTAGGGACCTGATGTGGGACGATAAGGGCTAGGGATCTAGCGAAGTGAGGTTGATTGGCAGAAGTCCGGGTTTCTTGAAGGATTGGCCAACATGAAATATAGGTGGCTATTTTTGTAGACAGGCATGGACTTATGAAATCAGCCAGGTGGAAAGCTGGGTGATTTTGAAGGCAGTGGTAGTCGCCATTGTAGCATTGCAGATCAGTTATTTTTATCCCTACGGATAAGAAACTTACTGGCATTTGACTTTGGTAGTTCTCTCTTGAAGCAACCGTTTTTGAGGCTTGCTGGCTGTGTGGTAAGCAGCCTTGGTGAAAACGGTGCACCAAGCTACAAAATCTGTAAAATCATCTTCCAGAGGGCAAAGTGACGCAGTACCTAGAGGTGAGTGGAGGCCCACCCGCTTGAGATGTGCTTCCTGATCTGCTGACAACCTTTGAGACTGCGGCAAAAGCCAGTGTCGGCTCTGTGATGCGTAGCTCTAGTAGCAGGTTTTAAGTCGGAGCAGAGTTCTGCCTCAAAGCCATTCGGTAGCACAATATGCGGTTCGACATCCTAACCGAACCTCACCAATCCTATTATGGTGAGGTCACATCTCTCAATTTCCTCGCCCTCACTACTGACAACAAGACCGGGGTGTGCTGAGTATTCCCTCTGCTACTACAGGTGCTGAATTCTGTCCGATGTTTCTATTTAATCGGGGTCTCGCTATAGTCCTTTCACCACCTCAGTTAACCTTATTTCTCTCTTGTTTAAACAACCGGTGTTACATTTTATTTGAAGTAAAGATGCCTAATTTTCGGACCGTTCTCGATTTGTCCTTGCTTGTTAAGCGTGTGTGCATTCATGCCTTCTGAATTAGTAATGCCAGTGATACTGTAATGGTGCTCTGATTCAAAGGATTTGCTTTAGTTTGGATGAAGCTGAACAAGAAGTTTGCTTCTCTTCTTCTTGGGCAACCACTAAACCGCTATGTGGCTCAAGACACAACTAAATAAATGGAAACCGATAGTTCTTTTTGACCTAAGTTGGAGGTCAGAAAACTTATCAATGGAACTTAGAGTGCTGCCGTAATTAGGGATTGGCAGTTTGGCCTACGTCGAAGTCTCCGGTAGGATCACTGGAGTGATTTAGTTGTGACTACCCCTTGCGTAGTTAAAAGGGGGTGGCATGGATTATGCTGTCAATCATTAATTGCTCCTTGAATGCAATTGATCACACGTAAGACTGAATAGCATAGGTCTTTAAAATCTTGTATAGGTATTTAGCATTAAGTATGACTTGAGGGCTTTGAAGGCTTCAATAATGTATCATATCGAAAACCCATAAGCGGGCCAGTTAGATTATCCTTCTACAATTGGTTGACTTTAGCAATTTTATCAGAATAGTAAGACAAGTCACCAGGAAATGAAGGAAGAGAAAATTTCTGACATATGGTGGAATAGGGCATGAAAGACTCTGCTTCAAATTGTTCCTCTAAGCACTTGGGAGGAAATATTATCGTTCATCAGACAGTCGAAAGCAGGATAGACTCGATGTACTACGTAGGTGTCTGAAGAGGGGTCATTAGACAGTTTGTTATCTTGTGCGTTCAACGGATGACCAAATTTCACAATTACTAGCAGATACGGGATGGTGGTATTAAACACTGATGTTACATTGTAAAGCCGCAATGGTAGAATAACCTCGCATAATCGGGCACATCATTATTTGTTTGCTATTAGAAATTCGGTATGTAGGGGCCGCATTGTGCTAACAAACACTCCAAATTAATTAATAAAACAACAATTTTTAGTTTGAACTTGCATTTAACTAAACGAATGCATATTTTGCCTGATAAATATCCGGTGTGATTTATAACCTGTTTGAGGAAGTTGGTGAAGGGCCACTGACACCTGAATTCCTAAATGGTGAGCAGCATGTAGTTTGACTTTTGGTACCCATATTTTTATGCGATTATGGAGCTAAAAGTAGCTTACTGGGGATGTTTTTTGTTGGTTTAGGTGGTTTTAACCAAAGATAGGTCACTTTTTGTCTACAGGGAATGAGCAATGGCTCGGAGGATGATAACAATGTGGACGGCGGTGGGCCTTCCAAACAACCGCCAGAGGACCCCTCGTCCCATAATCGCTCGTCATTGTCGGTGGCAGTGGTGGTAATGGGTAGAGCGGCGAGGGCGGCAGTTAGAATGGTATCGTTTGCTGAGTTTATGGGATCGTGCGGCGATGCTCTCTCAACCGAAGTAGAGCGGTTCTTTAAAGAAAACTCCCAGACCATTGACATGTATGGAAACAAGGTGCGATTTAGAGAAAATCTCCTCCTAATCATATCAAAGGTTGTCTCAAGTGAGCTTGTGCTAAGGTAATTCATGAATAGGTTAGTCCAGCACTCCAATTCTATGTACATAATTGGGAAATTTGTAGCCTCATGTGATAATAATCGACGCACACTTGGACGCAAGATTGCTATCCTATGTCGTCTTTTTCATTGTTATAGATTCGTGTGTCAGTAGGTCTGAATTCTACTCATAACTGCATCCATCATTTGTCATTTGATTGACAAATTCGCCGAATTGGCCAACGTGGTGGCACATGAAACCAGTTAGCTGTAGTGATATTTAAGCATGTCTACTTTTGTTCATGAATCTGTTTGTCAGGCTCCTTTATTTGACATTTAACTTGTTATCTCCAATCTTCCTTGCGCCAATATTGGATTTGTGTGTCCACAAATCTAGACACCCTGTATCCATACATCTCTTACCTATGTCTCCAGTTCGAGTATGTTCGTCTATCTTTTCATCATCTGGAGTAACGTACATCTCACTACTCCTCGATTATCATATTTGAAATGTCTTTCCTTCCTCTTTTTTTCAAATCACGTTGAATTCTCAACATTGCATAGACCCAAAACTCTTTATTGTGGGCTTCGGACTAAATCAAAGTGACACCGAGTTGTGTCTTGTGCTTGCGTCACAGATGTTGCGGAGCAGAGGAGGTGCCTTCGTGGTGCTGCAGCAACTCATAACTCCATTGTGCAGATACAGTGAGTCCTAGTTCTATTATTTTTCCTAATTATGAGGCAAATGTTGACAGGCACTTTGCCATTTGCATTTGCTTACATAGAAAGACGAATGTTGCTTTCCTTCCTAGACGAATTGATAAAGATGTAAATTGTCAACAATACTTAATGCACACTCTTACTTGATTTCGTTTCCTTCTGTTTGCTACCCTGTTCAAGATCACTAGGCAACACTTCAATCGCCAATATCACTACACTTTAAAGTTCTCAAATGTACAAATATCATTAAGAAGGCTGTTTGTTTGTCAAAGCGACCGATGCTGTGATAATTCGGTATTCCGATGCACTAGACAGCGAGGACCATGGCTCTTGCTAGCAACATCTGATGCTACACAGAAGGAGCAGATTGGTCCGATGTCATGCACTAGCTGGTACAATTGGCTGCTTAGTGTCAATGCTAATCGCGTGATTCGATGGTAGGCCTCCAAAAGCATTTGCGCGTGCATATAAATACTCTCCTAGATGCAATAAATTAAAGCAATTTGAAATCTTTAATCGTGTTTGCTTTCGATGTTTAAAAAAAAAGCATTGAAAGCAGTAAGACTTCCAGTGATAAATGGATGTAAGGATTCGCCGGGATTTAACCTGGTGAAAACGTATCATCCTTTTAAAAATCCTTCTTTGATCAAAAAAATTATTCAGAAGATTAAAGCCAATCAAAATAAATCAAATAATTTACCGCTTAGCGCTAAGTCAGTTAAAAGCCGTCTCCAATGGTCTTTTTTAGGTGTAATGTTGCCACCGGCTTACACTATTACACAACCCAGCATATAAATTAATGTTAGCGTCAGTTTTCGACGTCCCAATTTTTGATCACATTGATATTTAATCGATGCCAATTCCTACGTTAAGCATGTACGTGCGTCTTCTAGCAATTGCGGGGTATGGAGTGTAGCATGGTCCTTTATGTGCTTCACATTGCCGCCCATTACAATCCAACTTTGAGCCGTGAATTGCCATAAGGACGCAATGGAGACTGTCACAGCTGATGAAACTGAAAAATAGACAGACAGTTGGGTCAGACCCGATCATCGAAAATAGAACATACCACGAGCTTACTCACCCACATATCAAAGAATTTGCTTTGCCTTGTGACTCTGTCAACGTCTATCCTAACGTTGATAAATGATCATAACCATGAGAACAACTGATGCAAATGTCCCTTCGTAAAGTAGTCTTCGACTCTAGCATGGCCAAATTAGTACTAAATATCAAGGCTTTCGCGACGCTTTATGAGGAGATTAAGCGTGATCAACAGTCTAGCAGATTACTTACAGAAGAAAGAAAAAGAGATGGCGGTTGACGGTGAGATGTTGTTATTTGTTAATATAGACCAAGAAACCTAAGTATTGAAACGTCTGATGCATCCAGATTTGGCTTGAGGCATAATTCATGGAGGCAGTTTCCTACGATGCACTCAAGCCATCCTAGGTTTTATGGAAGGTACTTTCTCCACCCTCCAAGACAGTAAAGTCATGCCAGTCCATTAGTCAACAAAAGAATTTGTCAGTGATGTTCATAATGTCTTATTCGAAGCTGCACCTATACACCTGAATAACTTAGTTTCTGATTCCAACTTGCTCTTGCCACTGACAATGAAGGGAAGAATATTTGTGACGCAGTTTCACGGCAAGGTGGTAAGTCGAGATGAACAAACCCGGTTGAACTTGCAATAGGCACCGGTGAGGCAAGGCCAGTCATACTGCTACCCAGGTACATACCTCACCCTTTTAAAAAAGTGGTAAAACATATTGTCGAAGCGATGATCAAAGACGAGGTCTTAAAGACATCAAAGTCACCATGGGTCACATATACCGCTCTAGTTGAAGAGGACGGAGGTCATCTTCTACGGATCAACCATAGGAAGCTAAAAGCACTACTAAAGTGGCATACTGTCCCACTACTCCACATAAACGATTCTTTAGACTCTCCACATGGGCCAAAGTGGTTCGTCACTCTAGTCTTAAAATCATGATACTGGTAAGTAGTAGTGACAGAAACAAATGGGGATGGATAGGGTTTCATTATATTCGAGAGGGCTTTTGGATTTGCTTGTGGACTCTCAAACCCAGCTACCACTATAATTCCCTCTACGAAGCGCACTATTCGGATTATTCACTTGAACAACATTCCTGTCTGCGGTAGAGATATTGGGCAGCATAACGCCTAAGATTAGTGTCAGACTGTCTACTAGATGCAGGTTACGCTAAATTTAAAGCAATGCTAGTTCTTGCAACTTTGAGTCAACTTTCTGGGACATGTTGTCGCATCAGATGGGATGCCATTTACTGAAGCCTGTACAAAGCAAGTGAGTACCTGGCCAACAGTAACCTATCAAACGGGACCCCGTAATATCCTAGATCTAGGAAGTTACTAAGGCCATTTGGTTAAAGGCACTGCCAAGATCACAAGCCTTTTGCATGAACTAAATGAAAAGCAGGCAAAAAGAATTTCAGCTGGAGGAAAGAGCATTATAATTCGTGTAAAGAACTGAATCGAATGCTCTGCTCCGCATGGATTCTAGCACTGGCAGAAAGAAGTCATGCCAGCTGTGCACCGCTAAAGCAGTTCCATTGTATATCGCTTTTACAAGGCCTTCAGATTAAAAGATGATCATAAAATTGGGGATTGTATGCCAGAGTATTTGGAGGACGCCTCGGCTGCTAGAATCGTAACTAATACATACGTTACATTTGCTACAAATATGACATTATACTGCATACAGTCCTAAAACCATAAATTAAATCAACCAGAACATTGACTTTGAATGTCAATGCTGATCTTTTGTTAATTTTGAGTATTTTTAAGTGTACTTCATCTGTTATAACTATTTACATTGGGATTTAATTGGAACTTTCTATCTTTCCTACGTAAGCCTTTCCTAATGATTAGTTCTTATTTAGTTTACGCGGGCAGTCACACTGCTAAGCTCACCTGATGGCTTATAAGAGCTAAAAGAGCACTCGACTGCTCTATGCGTTGCAGGCTGTCACCTGCAATCTAGTCGAACATGAGATGACATAGATCGACTTCCACATGGCAAATGAAGCTTATCAATGGGCCTTGGTTTCATCCTACAACGCATGTTTCCCCGGAATATTATGCATAAAATCATTTTAAATTTGAGCAGTTTATCCGTCGGATCATTTATTTGGGAATGTGATAGCGGTTGGTCGGCACTTTTGTTTGCAAATCGCTGCAGTATCTTTCCTTTAAAGGTGACAGCATTCCCTAAATAACTTTTAATTCATTTGACTCCAGTGTTAAATCTGTTTTGTTTTATAGATGTAAGAACTTGACTCAAATTCGCATTTATATTTACACCCTACTTTAAGCATGACTAAATTTTGTCAGCCAAAATCAAATATTGCTTTCCAAGCAAATTTTGATTTTATTTCAAATTTTTCACTTAAGGGGGTTTTAGGAAAGCAACCTGAACAAAACTGAAAATATCCGCCTTCAGCACCTGGCCTGCCTTTTACAGCTTTACTGCAAATAAAGTCAACATCATAACCCGAGCATTTTAAGTATTTTCATATTTAATGCCATGTAATGAACACTGGGGACAACCTTCGAATGGAGTGTTGAGAACGACGTGACAGCACCACACACTATTACCAGTTACATGCTGTGTCATTAGGACGATATTCAGATATATTGTACCATGGATGATTGCAAAAAAAGATGACTCTTCTCTCCAATGCACTCCACTAGACAGCAGTCGAATTTGCGTTTACAGACATGGACAAATTTTACAGAAAACCTGATTGCAGCCAACGCAGAAGAGGTACACGCTGAAGGCCAAAGATGAGATTCCGATTTAACGCTTCTGAACAATTACTTGCACAGCATATTCTACGCCGTACGGTAACGCCAAACTGGAAATGTTAAAGTGACCATGGTAAGAATATTCGAGCGAAATACCATAAGTATCAGAATCCTCCAGATGCTAGTCTGATTTCGTTCATTAATATTACTTTGATTTGAATACAAAAAGTCTAATCAAAAAAATAATTTCGCTAAATCGCCTAAAAGTTTTTGAAAATTTTGCTTTGATGCTGCTGCGGTCTAGCCCAAAGCACTATTTTAAATTTGGCGATAAGACGTCACGCCGTTCGGCTGCCAAGTTAAATAAAATGATCACGCGGCCTAATTACAGCCCCTTAGTTAAAGCCTATGACCTTACAAAACACACGGGCATCCGCGATGTGATCAAATATCACTCATTACCCTATTATGTGTCATACGGTAAAATCATTGCAAACGCTTGATGGATGAGGTTACGCAGCAAAATAGCATGGGATGCTTTTGTAATTAATGAATTGAAATGTAAGGCGAATTGCGGATAAATCGACTCGATCAGAGCTAGACTTTAAAAATGTCTTTGATTTCGTTTTACTTGCAAATACAAACTCATTCGTTATTGAAACCGATTCGCTGGACATACAGCACCTGGATTAAATGGGAGTTACTGAAACCTAGGTCTGCATTTTCAGTGAAGTGTAAAGTTGTTGTCTGGAGCACAAGCCTCTTTAAATATATTTTACTATCTAAATAGTAGGCATTTTAGATGCCGTAATGGGACAATAACTTCAAAGTGGTAAAGGCAAAGAACATTTTCTACCAAATAGTTAAAGATTCAAAAAAAGTCCTCATAACATTTACACTTATGTTTCATATGCATACAATTACCCATAAAGCCGAGAAGTATTCAAGATAAAACATCGATGGCAGTCAGAGGTAAGGTTTTTCAAGCAGTAATGAATAAGTAGAATTAGATACATTAAGAAGTGGTAGGGATAAAAACTTCCAAAATGTTATATTACTCCATTAATCCACTCCTTAATGTCATTCATGCCTATTAATGGAAGCACATCGCAAAGAAAGCGTGGATTGAAGTGCCAAATTTATTAGTCGAATTATAGTTTTAATGCAACTGTTGTTTGTAGAACCTATTAATCTTTTGACACCTCGAAAGCAATGATGTATTCCCCAGGCTGCAAAAGTTATTTTATAGGGCATTATATCAGTCACTCAAACACCATATGGCTGGTGAACATACACTACTCTTTTATAGAAAAAGGATGGAACTATCAATCGCCTACTGCCAAAGGAATGGTTTACCATTAGTTCACGTAGGTTACCATTACTAGTAAGGCATCACTAATTTACGCCTTTTAAATAAATTTAATTACTTGCTGTAAATATAGGTTGCTCTGGATGAAGTAGCAATTCTTTAAGCTGGTGTTGGGCTTTATGAAAGCGGATTTAACTTCCGCACGGCCTTAAATAGTGCTTCTAACTTGCACTCTGCGGCTATTCGTAATTTTTACCTGGCTATGCACAAACCGCATCTGTCAGTATTTATTCACACAGGGCAGGTTAAGATGAGCGTTTGCAAGAAAGTAAATTTGTTCAAACAACTTAATTATTGCTGACCAATGAATTTGGAGAACTGCATTAAGAAAACTTTATGGCGAGGTTCCATTAGAGACACCGCAGTCTCTTCTACTCAAATACAAGGAGCATTTCATCGCTCAGCCCATTCAAGCCAACAAAAGTGACACCTGGTTACCAGAAAGAGAGAGGGAAATTTGGTGTAGGCTGGAGAAAGAAGTGGGATTGCTGCAGCCGAATTGAGGTGAGAGAGATTAATGACTCTGTAATGTATGAGGAACAAGGCGAGACTGTTGGCACGTGAATATATAAGTGAACACCGGAATAATTCCCTTTTTGAAAGTGTGTTATTTACCAAAAGAGAAAGTGCACCCCAAAAAGAGCTGCAACGGTGCTCAATTAGGCGTATTGACAATGATGAATTTGCACAGGTGCCTAAAGAAAAGCTGACATCATTAACTGTTAAAGGGTTTGCACACATGAAAACGCTCATTTGTATGACTGTGCCGCTAGTTTTCTGGGCGAAGCCTATTTGAGCCAAACATGGAGGGATGGGAACGGTTGTAAATGGTCCTCTCGCCACAATCAGCCCGGTGGCAGCAGTTTCCTTACCCTTAGTGATTGGCATATTAGATCAGATGGAGGAAACAAAATGAGATGACCTTGTAGTGGGGCATCATCGAGCCTCGAGAAGCATATAGACAGAGTATTTCTCCCTCACATTTCTCAACACGATTCAGTCGGCAAACTTAAGAAACCGCAGATACGGTGGAATCGACAAGAGGCATCAGTAACGACGTAAGCAATTGCGTCACTAATTGCTCTGGTCCGCGCACTAGTAGAAATGAGCTAAGTAAATGCACCTTGTGCCTATAGTAAATTGTTAAAGTTACTTAAAGAAAAAGCACAAGAAAAATGTGATGAAATCTGTACCAAATGCATAGGATTTGATTATTTCATGTGGTTACCTAAGTAGTAGAATCCCAAGAGAAATGAATGGTGCATTTTTGGCACGCTGCTACACTAAATGCTGCACAGCGATTGTGGCTAAGGAGAGTGGAATTGAAAGTAAGGCAGAATGCAGGTTAAAATTAATCCGCCTTTTTACCCTCCCTATCATTGTCTACTTCACCGCAAGTTTGTCTGAGATAGGCGTGCGGAATTTCGAGAATTCGTGTGATATCATACCGTTCCTCACCATAGTAGTAGAAACAACGTAAATGGCAAGTGTACGAATCGCACAAAGACACAGGTCAAATCGCTTCTACCATTAACGCTAAAACAATCGTTGGAATGTCGGAACTGCCGATTACTTTTAAGTATTTGGTGTAGGCAGCAAATCACATTAAATAGTCAACATCTACTGAAGTTGCATTTACACATCCATGGATGTTAAATCACACATTTTAGAACCCGCATTAACGAAACTGTTAATGCCTTATCTGAATTGAATGATGCAATTTTGTGCAGATGAATTAGGTGGTAGTTTAAGGATATTTAAAATGTGACACAGGCACTAGTTGGGTGATATCGCTTTCTGTGTATTTCTGTGATTCTCGATATTGGATAAAACACTGTCTCAAATGTCATTCGAGTTAAGAAGGTGTTAGGGGAAATTGCATGAGAACGAGATTGTGCTGTCGAAGTGAGTAAAGTGGATAGAGTATAAAGTGCTCGTTTTGTCAGATGTGCCGATATCATAGATGTCGTTCCGTTGCACAACTCTTCATTTTAGCTTCGCCCTCGAAATTCCTTGCATTACTCCACTCTGTAGGCCACTTAGAAGTCGTCTGTGCCTTAAAATCCCCCGTGAGCTCAAAACTAATATCCTTTATGGCGTTTAACAATCAGTAAGAACATTTTAAGCTAAAATGTACGGCAATCTAGGTCACCCTCTATGCAAAATAAAGTGTCTGAATATTTTGGAATGAGATGCTCTTTGGCGATTTCACACGCAATTACTTTATTATGATCTAAATAAGGACTAATCCTTCTCAGTGGCCTACATGTATGGAGTTAATTTTGAGTGAACCTTACAACAAATTCGAAAAAGCAGAGATACTTGTAGGTATGAGGCATCCCTTGAATAGTCTGACATAGCACTCTATCGTCGATGTGGATTCCATAATTTTGGTTAGGATATACGCGGTAGACAATGAATACTCAACCATTTTCAGAACACGCCTTTTCATGTGCAATTTTAGCACACATCCCACATTACAGCTGGCTTGCGCCGAGGCCAAGATTTGGAAGAAGCGAGACAAAGCACCCCAATTTCATTCATTCAGCCTACTCCTTGACTTCTTAGTCAATTCCTATGTTAATAATGCAACTTTCTGCACTATGAAGCTCTATTCCACCCATAGAAATGAATTGGTATGCAAATGAGTAGAAAATCCTGATCTCATTGGCTCGGTGCGTAGAGGTAGCTCACTACAAATAAATAGTATTTGGGTAACTGAAATTCATGGAGATTCACATTGCAGTTGCCGTAGCAAACTTGTCGTCATTGATTTGTAAAGAAAACACACCACAAAATCACAAAAATATTAACTGGAAGCTACTGAGTCCTTTGGCACGTAAACTGCTGATCGGAACCTGGTTTCAAGACATGCTCCTCCCCCATCCAGTGTTGCCCCTAGACAAGCACTCCTACCACCTGTTATTTCCACACAGAATACAACACTGTCCAGTCTCTAGCACTATTGGTCAAACGAACCCGTCCACGATGCATCTCTCCTTGCATAGCACGCCAAGTTCCACAAGATTGCCATGCAACAAAATAGGCAAATTGCCTTCCTTGGCGCTGTCAACCACAGTATCGTAAAACGGTGGCCCGATGCACTTTCAATTCCTAAGACGATTTTAATATCCCCGGGCGGTGCTCAAAAGGATTAGCGCAGTATGTCACCACTGCGTATAGGCATTTTATTGGTAATTTTTTATCCAATGCATTTTAAAAATATCATGCTGAAGTAGAAGACGATGTGGCACCAGTAGATGGATTCATCCCTCATTCGTCAGTCCAGGCCAAACAACACGTAAGCATGTTTGAGGGTATGAAACAGTTATTACTGAGACGCCGCAGTAGCAATGCCTTCCGCTGCCACGAGGAGTCATGCCACAGTGATCATGACCCTTAAAAGTAACCAGTTTGTAGCCAGCTCCAACTCAAAGAGATGCCATCGTCATTTCTGCTGCTTTCAATGCTCGATTATTTAGACGACGATCTGCTACCTACATCCACTCACAAAATTGGTTTTTTGATAGACTTTCCTTTGCTGTGGCATCAAATTAAGAGCCCTAAATCGGTGTTAAACAGCACTAAAAGCTTAAATACAGGCATTAGAAATACATTTACAATTTTGCGTGTTATGCGACACCGTGGTTTCAGTACAATGTATTTATTCCTCATCAAGTACAATTTTCATTGGCATAGGCAGTCCGCCATCCACTATCGCTGTCACGGTTGACTTTTAGGGCTGAATTTGTTTGCGATGAATTTGGTTAAACTTTCTACCGTGTTTTGCAACCTAAGCGCATCGTAACCCCACTGCACTGGTCACATTTGCAGCGCTACTAGCAGCACAATTCGTGTACACTCTATGAGCCTCAAGCACACTCACTGTTATGCTAAACACCCACCTCTCTCACAGCCGTTTCTTACGGCGTAGAAGGAGTTGAGACAGCCAAATATATGCGCGTCTGCAACTCTGAACGAATGGAAGTAGCAAACTGGGATGTGGAAAGAATGGGCACTTCATTCCTCATTTCCTCTAGGAAAAGTAGGTGGTCGCAGGGCTTGGTATCGAAGTGAGCTACTGCACGTAGCAAATAAAGCGAATAGAGGGTGCCGCGCCCCATGGCGCCACGTTTTTGGCATATCTGCTAGGTTGCTCAGTCTGCTGCAACTCCTAGGGAAGCGGCATAGGGTAAACACTTCATCCATGGGGCTACAATCATTCGACCTGCAATGCTTAGTTCCGCAGCTACTTGATGCCTTCCAATCTGCAAGCTTAGTAAATGCGCATTGTTTCTTCTCCGGGGCAGATAAAACACAAACCTCAAAACTCAAAATAGGGTATTTTATCATGAACACTTTACAGATAGATGAGAACTCCACTTTTCAACTTGGCGTGATGTCATCCACTTATCTCAACGACAGTTCTGGAACAATAGTTACCGGTCAGTGTGGCAAATGTGAACTTCTCCTCTTCGGTCACAGCGGCGCAACCACAGCGATTGCGGCGGTAGTAGTAGACGACTCACCCTGGCAGGTGTGAGGTGGGCGGAACATGGAAGCGCGGCATTGGCGCTCTGCGCACGCTATTCATCGGTTCCTGGAAAGTAGAAGTGATATGACGGGATTACTAGTGAAAAGCATCATCCGCATTTCAAAATGCCTTTAATGATAAAGTAGTTTAGAGATAGCAATATTGTTTCCAATTATAGGTGCGCAGAGAAATTAAACCTGGGTGATGATGACTCTTTGACACAAGGTGTTTGTGACGGATGAGAAGAAAACGGACATGACTCTGCATTCGGACATAATTTACAAGTGCCCGCTCAAAGTAATAGGCAGTAGGAGTCTTTGACTTTGTTTTGACTTCAAATTTCAGTTCAATCAATAAAGAATTGTATTTATTACAATACAATTTGTTTCCGGATATGCTCTTATGCACCTAGTTATAGAAAAACTAAATTTGCCTAAATTTTGCTTAACTCACCCCCTATTTCCACCCATTCCAGAGCAAAGAATTGTACCAAAATAATCTGTTTTAATCAAAAGATTATTCAGGTGGTTTAGAAAACAAATCCCTTATAAAAATAAGTTTACTGCTTTGAGGCAACACAGCATAATGCATACCGGACAAATGGAAAAACCGAAATGCTTCACCACTTGACGTTATTTCAGACAAAGGGATTAAGCTTTATTAGTAGTACAAAACTCAAAATATTAAGCGGATTTTAATTTCCTAATGCACACATTTGTAAATTCAATAAGGCCTTTTTGAAACCTTTGATTTTTCCAATGGTTCAACAAGTTTGATTGCCCTTACCTCGCGGTCGTCCACCAAATATCATTAAAATTTTACAGTCCGTTTTAAGCCCATACGTGCTTAATAATAAATTAGATAAAAAATATGATTTACACAAATGCGAAAAGATTAGATGTGAAACACTTTTTAAATTATGAATTATGCCTGTTTGGCATTGATTCTATATACTTAGGCCAAGTTCTGCAAATTTGAAAGTGTCTAACTCTGTAGCATGAGTATCAGACATGCTAATAAGGTCCGACGGAATGTGGAACTGTGCAGAAGCTTAGGAGTACTCACCCGGTTGCACCATCGCAAAAACTGTTCTAGTTTAATCCACCAGTGTCTTGTCACTCGCCATTTGAATTTTGAGGGTGTTAGAGAAAAGGCATAAGTGCCCACTGTCACTCAATGGCCTCATGAACCCGTATCATTTTAAAGTGTACGTTAAATTACATTACTCATACTGCTTGAACGCCATTCGTAGAGGAAACGAATAGTAAGAATTGGTAAATGGGGTTTGAATCCCAATTTACACTACCTAGAGATTTGCAGTTTCTTAACAAAGCCACTGGTTTTAGGTGGCAGAAGCTATGGTTGGAAAGTTATCCGACTCTGCCTATTCGTTTGTTTTGTTAATGTTTAGAATGTAAAAATGTCATCTAGTGTTCAAAAAGTGCTAGCATTTTGCTGTTAAACCTATCCCAAATTTGAATACTGACTTAAAAATTTGCAATCGTTTACAGCAAATATGTTTCTCTGGAATTTGATTAATGGAACTTGTTCATTTATCATTGTTGGCGGAAGTATTTTCACCCAACAATGAGTTTTAATGCGTCACGTGGGCTAGCGACTGCGGAACTGAAAGCGCTAGGGACAATTTGTCGCTTCAAGAGAAAACCATCATTATAACACGACAACAGGGGGCGGCATCAGTAATTGTTCAGAATTGTAGGCCTTTCGCTTGTACCCATCCACGAAACTTCCTGACATATCTTTAACGAATAAAAAAAAACACTCTTTTAATTGAAATATCGCAAAGTTTTGTGTTTGAGCAATAAACGCTGTCAATTTTTTAAATAACTAACAACGAGCTTGGCACAATCGCTATCTTAGTGCTGTCAATTTTTCGTGAATTTCAAAGTCGGTTTCGCATGTGGGTTGAGAAGTCCTCTTCATACCGGCGTGCTTTATTATACCGGTAGTTATCTCTCTGGCTATTACAATATGATAGGGCTTTTGCAAATTCCTAAAGTGCTTTACTTTTGGTATCGCCTTAGTAAAAATAGCTACCGTCCCCTCCCATATTTATAACGAAGTCACATTTTGAGGCTTTGAAGAGGCATTAGTGGAATAAGCACACGCATCTGTTGGACACTGAGAATCAGGCAAAAATGAGAGGGAAAATGAGATTGGCTCTTCAAAAGTTCGGGGATTAGCCGTTAATTGCGACTTTGGAAAAGGCGAATATAAAAGTATTTTATAGGACCCAGACACCCCAGCACGCTGGTGCAGGGAACAAATGGTGACGGTCTTACGACTTTTTAACATTAGTGACGATAGCATCAATGTCTGGTCATGTCCATGCATTTTTGATTGGCTAATATTTGTTTATGTGCACTTCTCAAAAGAGAGGAGGTGAGGAAGTAATATTTCATGGCCAAGTGAACGCCATCTGCCTCCGAGGAGGGAGTAGTGCACTCTTGACAACCATGGCCCTAATCACTGCACTCCGTTTCTAATGCCACCAGTAAAAAGCATCCTCATCCTAGCAGTGTACTCATGCCAAGGGACTGAAGGCCGAGCCGAAAGAAGCAATGGCTGAACTGCTTGCACAACGACACGTCTTTAAACTGGCATAGTTCTCAGAGATACGAAGGAGCTCAGGTGCCTACAATGCTGATAAGCTAATTTAGAGTAATATGTCTATATTTTCATTCTGCGGAAGTACGTTGTGCTTGAGAAGAATGATTAATTGACTAAGGAAGATTCCGAGTAGTTAGTCCGAAATGAACTGCCAAATACAAAGCGCTATTCCAAATACGGTGGAAGTAATATTGCCCCAAAGTGAAGAAGAGAATTAAACGCCTTGCAATAACTATTTTGGAGCTTTAATAAAAAATGTGAGGTTCAGTGATACAATAGTTTGATTGAATATTAGGAGAAAAAAGGCGTTCGCTAAAAATAATTAGTAAGAACGTAAAACACAAGCCTGATGAAAAAAATAGCTCCAATGCACACTTTATTTCTTGAAAATCTCACTCTTTTGCACCTTTTTAAATGCTTTTGCGAATATTTCACGCGAAAAAATTGAGCTTGCTCAGCTGCGCGCTGACGCCGATCTTTAACACTTACGGCAGTGCCTTCGTTGACTCCTCCGTCTCAGATGCGAATGGGATCAAGCGGTGCCAGTGTCGTCAGATGGACAAACGGAGCCGTACACGACATCTCCCATCCTGAATGCAGCCACGTAAGCCGACATAACTGGAATGAGAATGAAGGTAACTTCTACGTAGTTGTGTCATGGCTGGGTCGTGACCTCCACGTTCGGACTGACTAATCTAGGAACGTTCAGTGGGAAGGTTATGCTTCAATTATATGAGGTTTGTCCAAGGTTCCTCTTAGGACCCAAATTTTGCCTTGCGAAGAATTTTAAAAATAGGGATGTTTACAAAATGCGATGCTACCTCAATATACCTTTTCATCTCCCAAAGCGACTTTATAAGCCCTGAAAATGTCAAAACAGGTTGGGTTTGACATTTTCAGGGCTTAGCTAATCACATTTGAGAGAGTAACGTAATCGTCAGGAACATAGGCGCTGATTCCAAAGGTTGTTTTACGGAAATACGTCGACCGAAGGAAGCAAGAAAATCCCCTTTAGGGGCTGTGCACATGATGGTTTATTGATATATTCAGGAATTGTCCCAAATTGAGTGGCAAGAATGCTGCTTTCCTTGTCAATTTTACTCACATAGATACTGCAGTAAAGATCCAACATTAACATGAAATCAGCGGAAAATTCGCCAACAGCATTTTGGATCTTTATTGCAGCACTTACACAGGTAAAAATGACAATGATTGCACCATACTTGCTATTACATTTGGCTCAATTTCGGGATTTTTAATAATCTACCGTAAAATTCTGCATGAAATTTGCTCAAGTTTTCTTCTTTAGACTAAGAAGACAAACTGCCTTACCTCTACCGCTAAACAGCCAACCCGAAGACTAGTGGAAACCTCAAATGTTAATATTTGCTGTTCCCCATCGTATGCAATTCTAGCTGGAGTTAGGGTTTTCAGTTGTTGCCAGAAATAAGTCGGAATGACTTACGGTCTCAATAGGATGCAGACGATATCTCAAGGTCCCAAGGGTGTAACCTTATTTGGTTTATCGGTTTGATCACCTAAAACACAATAAATCTTGTATGCAAACGCAATTTCGACGATTTTCAGTAAGATAAGGAAACGGACAAAGTGCCAAGCTCCATGGACTGCAAGAAAATAATGAATCCTAGCGACACAAAACTAATACCAATCGAATTGAAGGGGTGGTAGACCAAGTGGAAGCTGACCGTACTATGAAGAAGATTAAGCTTCGCATGCGGACCTGGCGAAATATGGTACACATTTCACCATCTTGGAAATCGGATTTGCTGAGGCTGTCTTTTCGACTATTAGGTGGTGGGTGCGCAAAATTGTTCATCCACAGCAGGCTAGGTATTTAATTAATGAACTAAGGATTGTCTTTGAATCAGATTTGCTTAGCGTTACTGTGTCGATTAGAGTCATCCTTAAAGTTGTGATAAGGCATTCCAGTACTGAAAAAGGGCCAATTTAGCAAACCGAAATAGTTGGGTGGCCGAAGCTAA